ATGACCCTGCTGAGCCCAAGGGCGGGGTCAAATGCATCATCTGTTTGGAGTCGTTACGCCACCATAAATAAACCCGCTGTCCTTTTGAACTCTATGTTGGCTCCCGATTTCCTGCGCCTGACAGATTCTTTGACAAAAGGAATGCATTTTCTCTAACCGCTTTTCCCTTCTGTTCTTCGTCCTCTTTCTGATGGCTTTTTACCACACTGTTGCATCATGCAATTTTACCACAGCCCGAATTTGAAATAATTACCATCACTTAAGTGAGCGTTACTTGCTTCCAACAGAGGATTGGAATGAAGGAACAGAGATATCTCACCAAGATTCTGTTCTGTGCCAATAAATTATCATATGCTTAGGGGTACGTTCCTACTATACCCTCCTGAATTAATTCTTCATTTCTGTACTGGTATCTTGTTGGAAAGAAAAAACTGAACCATCTGGTTCAGTTCCAAGCCAGGAGAAAGGAGAAAGACAAAATGGAGGCTGAAGGCCGATTGGAAAGAAAGGTTCTCTTTATTGATGAAGCAGAACCATCAACGGCAGGTGATTCAGGGACAGCTGACAAAATGGAGTTTAGAGTGGTTGGGTTTTTATATCTTCTGGATTCCTATGGGGGTCATGTAGGGGGTCATAGCTGGCTCTATAGGCAAGAGAGGAAATGCAAATCCCAGGTGTTTGTCTGAACTAATCTTGTCAACCTTTGGCTTGTTGCTTATCTGGAGTTTCTGTCTGACCAAGTCTTTCTGAATGGATTACCAAATCTGCATTTCTAAAAGCTGGCTTCCTCATTTTCTGCTTGGGGCAGGGAAACTGGGACTGGTTTCTGCCTCCCTTAAGATTTTTCTCCCATTTCTCCTTTAGGGGAAATATAATATTCTGCTTTTTTAAAAAAAATATTTCCCAAAATATTTCATTCTTTGAGGGATGTGTGTGTGTGGAGGGCTTCCCACAATCTTCATGCATAGCTAAAGATAACGGGAACCCAAAAGTCTTTGCAGAAGATCCAGATGCTTGGAAAAATCGGAGGAAATGAAGAAAAGGCTTGCAGAAGACAAATGGCTAAATGTTATCACTGACAAAATGATCAGCTTACAAGAACTCAAAATGGAGAGCCAGTTTGGTCTAGTGCAGTGTTGGCAAACCTTTTCGGCACCAACTGCCAAAACGGGAGTGTGCCAGGGGTGGGTTCTACTTACCTTTACTTACCGGTTCGCATCACACCCGCGCGCAAATCACCTATGATGACGTCCGGGTCAGTGGGCGGAGCCTCCCGCCGGTTTTACTACCGGTTTTTGCGATCCGGTCTGAACCAGGGGCAACCCACCACTGGAATGTGTGCAGGGGGGAGCACTGGAAACCAGAACAGCAGCTGCCTGGCGTGCATGTGCGGGAGTGCCGGTAACCGGAAGCTCAGCTTCCCAGTGTGTGCATGCGTGCCAGGGAGCTGCTCTTCTGATTTCCGGCATTTTTGTGCATGCGAAGACCAGCTGGTTGGCATGCACATGCACGCTGGAACCTTGAAGAGCAATGGGCAACAGCTGACGTGCCCGGAGACAGTGGTGGGTTCCTCCTGGTTCGGTCCGGTTCGGCCGAGCCGGTAGCGGTGATGATATGACGTCACCAAACCGGTTCTCCCCCCCGCCCTCCCACCCACCCACCCACCCACGTTATTCTTACCTTTTATTTGGTCCCACCCCCAATCTATTGCTGCCTCCTGAGTCCCAGCTGATGACTAGAGGGAAAAAAACTGTTTAAACTCTTGCCGCGGGGCTTCAAAGGGCCGTCCTACAGCTGATCAGTGTTCAAAGCAAACAAATGAGTCGGGTCGTAAGTGCGAGGACTGGTCGTAAGTGTGAGGACCTTCCAGAAATGACTCTGACCAGCTAGCCACGCCTACCTAGTCACATGACCTCCAAGCCACACCCACAAAATAAGCCACGCCCACAGAACCGGTAGTAAAAAAATTTAGAACCCACCCCTGCCTGGAGAGATGACTCTGTGTGCCACTTTAGGCACGCGTGCCATAGGTTCGCCATCACGGGTCTAGTGGTTATGGCACCAGGCTAGAAACCAGAAGACTGTGAGTTCGAGTCCCACCTCAGCAATGAAAGCCAACTGGGGGATTTGGGGCCAATTACAAGGTGACTCTGAGTTCCAGTCTTGCCCTGCCTTAAGCATGAAAGCCAGTGGGGGTGAGTTTGGGTCAATCACCAGGAGAATGTGAGTTGTAGTACCACCTTAGGCATTAAAGGCAGCTGGATGACTCAGCCTAATCCACCTCACAGGGTTGTTGTTGTACGGTAAACAGAAAGAAGAAGGTGCATTGGATATGCTCACCATCTTTTTTTAAAAAAGTTTTTTTTATTTTTTAGACAAACATTTAATACATCAAGTTTTCTCTTCCCTGTGACATCTCGGTGTTATCTTCCAAAGTTCTTTCTTTTTCTGTATAGTTGTCATTACTTCTATCTTGATCCTTATCCAGTCCACAATATCAATTCATCACTAACATAATATTCAACTCATCACATATTTTTACATACTTATATAATTAATCATTTATATCTCTTCTCCAGCCAATACTAAAAATCATTCCATATTTTCAAATATTCTGAGTTTTCTCTATCTTTAATCATCAATCTATTCATTTTTGCACAATCTAAGATTTTTTTTAATTACTACTTCTTCCAAAGGTATTTTTTCCGCTTTCCAATTTTGTGCATAGACAATCCTTGCAGCTGTTATTACATGTATTATCAGATAAACTTTTCCTTGCTAATTTTTTCAGGTAGGATACCCAGTAGGAACAGCTCTGGTTTAAATTCGATACGTTGATGTATCATTTCTTCCAACCAAGTCTTAAATTTAATCCAATAGTTTTTAGCTTCTGGACATGTCCACCACATATGATGATATGATCCTGGTAGTTGATGACACTTTCAACATTTAGCTGATTTTTCTTTAAACATTTTTGTTAATTTCTCAGGGGATATGCTCATCATCTTGAATTACTTGTAAAACCAATAAAGGCAGGATGCCAATAAACAAAATAATTAAATAAAATAGATTAAAAAAACTTTGCAAAATAATACCCACCATATCGCAAAGAGTCAGAATTTCCTGAAATACTGGACAGTATTTACGACGCTGCAATGGTCGTAAGTGTGAAAAATGGTTGTAAGTGTGAAAAATGGTCATAAGTCATTTTTCCGGTGCCATTGTAACTTCAAACAGTTACTAAATTACTGTTGTAAATTGAGAACTACCTGTAATCCATACTTATCAACCTAGTCTTGAGTAGGCAAAAGGATTCAAAGCCAGTGTCAGAATTTGTTAGGAGAAAGCAAATCCTAGGTTTACAGTTTACAGTTAACATAGGGAAGGAAATCATCAGAAGCCAGCTTGAATTTTAGTTAGAAGTTTCCTTTTTTTCCCTTCCTCAATGAGGAGAAATTCTGCGAAAGTGAGATCAGGCTTGGTTTGACTGCCTCTCTCCTTCACCGTCTGTGTTTAAATCGAAACAAACAAACAAAAAAAAACGCTATCCTTCTTCAGCATTAAAAAGATAGAATAACTTTGTTGTTGTCACTTTGAATGTAGCCGAATCAGCAAATGTTAAAATGAAATTTTCTTACGTACAGCTCTCCAAGGGTCACCACCTCCAATATGCACTACATAAACAGGACAAAAATATAAAATAAATAGAAGAAAGAAAAAGAGAGAGGGGGGGGGGAAGAAAGAAAGAAAAAGAGAAAAGAAAGAGGAAGAGAAAGAAAAAGAGAAAAAAAGAGAAAAAAGAAACAAAAAGAAAGAAAAGAGAGAGGAAGAGGAAGAGAAAGAAAGAGAGAAAGAAAGAGAAAGAGAAAGAAAGAGAAAAAGGAGAAAAAGAAAGAAGAAGAGGAAGAGAAAGAGAGAGAGGGGAAGGGAAGAGAAAGAGAAAGGAAGGAGAGAGAAAGAAAGAGGAAGAGAAAGAGAGAGGGGAAGAGAAAGGAAGGAGAGAGAAAGAAAGAGGAAGAGAAAGAGAGAGAAAGAAAAAGAAAAAGAAAGGAAGAAAAAGAAAAAGAGAAAGAGAAAGAAAGAGAAAAAAGAAAAAAAAGAAAGGAGAAGAGGAAGAGAAAAAGAGAGAAAGAAAGAGAAAGAGAGAGAGAGGAAGAGAAAGAGAAAGAGAAAGAAAGAAAGGAGAAAGGAGAAAGAGAGAGAAAGAAGAAAAGAGAAAGAAGGAAAGAGGAAGGAAAGAAGAAAGAAAGGAAGAGAGGAAGAGAAGAGAAAGAAAGAGAAAGAGAGAGAGAAGAAAGGGAAGAGAAAGAGAGAAAGAAAGAGAAAAGAGAGAGGAAGAGAAAGAGAGAGAAAGAAAGGAGAAAGAGAGGAAGAGAAAAGAGAAAGAGAAAAAGAAAGAAAGGAAAAAGAGAAAGAGAGAGAAGAGAAGAGAAAGAGAAAAAGAAAGAAGAAAGGAAAGAAAGGAGAAAGAGAAAGAAAGGAGAAAGAGAGAGAGGAAGAGAAAGAGAAAGAAAGGAGAAAGAAAGGAAAAGGAAAAGGAAGAGAAAGAAAGAAAGAAAGAAAGAAAGAAAGAAAGAAAGAAAGAAAGAAAGAAAGAAAGAAAGAAAGAAAGAAAGAAAAAAGAAAAAAAGAAAAGATGCCTCTACCCACATATATTATATGACCCAGAGAAACAACAGAGTCTAATTCGGATGTGTATACACGTACAGTGGCGAGGAAAACTACCACGGCTCCTGCAAACCTCGCATCGTTTAAATCCCCAACCACGATTCCTAATCCTTTCTTTAAAAAAAACAAAAACCCAAAAAACTCGCGTGGAGGAGACCCTCGCGGGGAAGAAAGCGTCCGCCCGCGGGGCTGTTTTAATCAGGCACCAGAGCTTCCCCGGCCCTTCTTTGTGTCTTTGTGCGTGTGCGTGTGTGTGTGTGTGTGTGTGTGTGTGTGTGTTTTCCTCCCACCTGGAATGGGAGTTCCCTATTTCCTCGCTTAGACTTGGCGGCGGAGAAGCCAATCAGCCCGCACCTTTCCTGGCTTCCTGTCTCTCTCGTAGGTGCGTCCCTCCCTGCTCACCTGGAAAAAAGTGAAGAGGGCTCAGCCCCCTCCCGGGGAAGCGAGAAAGGAGCAGGCGCCCACGGAGCCACCCCCAATGGACACGCCGAGGAAGACCGGGGGGACCCGCTTCAGGTAAGCTTACCTGGCTGGAGCTCTGGACTTTTAAAAAAAGAAAAAGAAAACTTTCAGCCAAGTTTGTCCCGCTGCCAAGTTCCAGGGCTTGAATCCGAGTTAAGAGACGCGCTGGGGCCTCGCGTAGGAATTCCAGGTGAGCTGCGTCAGGTCGAGCCCGGAACCTAAATTTGTGGCAGGCAGGCAGTTTACAGGGGCAGTTTACAGGGAAAAAAGAAAAGGAAACGAAGTTTAAAAAGGGGGAAAAAAGCCAGAAGGGAAAAAAAAAATTCATTCTTTCTCTTTCTTTGCCCCCCCTGCCCATCCCTCCTTCAGCTGCAGAGACACCCCCTCCCCTCCTCCCTCTTGTAAAAGGATTGTGAGAAAGTTGTGCGTTTGGGTCTTGTGGGTTATATCAGCAATTCTGAGCTGGGTCTCTTTTGCGGGGAAAAATTAACCTTAAAGCTTGAGATGCCGGGAATTCCCAAATCGGGGTGAGAAATTGTCCAGGAATGTGGCTCTCCCCCCCCCCCCCCCACATCGGAAAGAGCTGTTTTCCAAGGTAGAAACCCCCCCTAGGTGGCTCGGTGGCTAAGACGCTGAGCTTGTCGATCAGAAAAGTTGGTTCGAATTCCTAGTACAGGTTCTCCTGCGTGAGCAGGGGGTTGGACTAGATGACCTCTAAGGCCCCTTCCAACTCTGTTACTGTTACTGAAGCTCCTGAAACTTAAGACGCCTTTGAATACAGGTAGTCCTCGACTTACAATTGTTCATTTAGCGACCGAAGTTACCGAAGCGGCCCTGAAAAAAGTGACTTAGGGCCATTTTTCACACTTACGACTGCGGGGCGGGGGGGGGACATTCCCGTGGTTATGTGATGTATATTCGGATGCTTGACAACTGATTCATATTGATGATGGTTGCAGTGTGTGTGTGTGAGTGAATCACGTGATCTTCTTTTGCGACCTACTGGGAAGCCAGATTCACTTAACAACTGTTTCATGACTTTAACCGTTTAATTTAGCTGCAGGGATTGGCTTAACCAACGGGCCCAGGAAAGTGGTAAAATGGGGGCAAAAGCAAAACTCAACCGATGGCCCACTTAGCAACATCCATTCTGGGCTTACAACTGTGGTCGTAAATCGAGGAGGACTACCTGTCGTCGGCAAGGGTGCTTCCAGGCTCTAGATTTTTGGGGCCACAGACCAGCCGCTATGGTGGGATCAAGTTAGCATCTTAAAAATCTGTGTGCAAGATCTTTAGAAAGAGGAGATCGTTGTAAGCCCCAAAGTTGAGGCTGCCCATCTCTTGTTCCCCCCCAAAAAAAGGGGTCTTCTCCCCAGGAAATGGTCCTTTTTTAAAAAGTTCTGAGGCATCATTGTGCCGTGGGCCAAGGGGCCATTGAGGACAGTCCCCAAGGCCAATGAATCCAGCTGGAATTCCAGACACTTCTGGTTTTTTACTTCCTCGGCTGCCGAATAGCTGCCAACCTGAGGCTGGCTGTCATTCCAAGGTGATTAATGCTTTCTCAGATAGAGAAAGGCTCCTTCTCACAGCCTCCAAGAAAGGGGATATTTGCCTTTCCCATTTCCTTCAGAGGCTCCTTTGAAATTATTTTCAGTGCTTGGTTCTGTTTTTTGTTTTTTTTTTCCCTACGTGTGAGTCAAGGTTGAAAGGAAAGTTGGGACGGTGGATGGTTTCTCACCCCTCTGGTAGTTGATGGTTTCTCCCTCCTTCCCCCCCACCCCAGCCTTGTTCTGTGGACTAGTCCATCACTTAAACCACATTCTGAAGGCATCATGAGTCAAAGGAATATAGGAATTTTGTTTGACCTGGATTTAAGGTTCATCGTGATATCTGAACCCATCCACGTGTCTTTAAATCATCCATGTTTCTTCTTTGTTTCTTTTACTTGCTCCTCATGTATACAGTTGGAATAGGAATAGGAATAGGAATAGGAATAGGAATAGGAATAGGAATAGGAAAAGGGATGGGATGGGATGGGATTTATTTATTTATTTATTTATTTATTTATTTATTTATTTATTTATTTATTTATTTATTTATTTATTTATTTATTTTGTCGCATTTCTATGCCGCCCAACTCCCAAGGGACTCTGGGCGTCTTACAACAGAGAATAAAACAATGCAACAATATCCCATACAAAAGTTAAAAGAAGACATTAAAACGTTAAAACCAGGATGGATTTGATTTAAATCGAGTTGATTTAAATCACAATTTAAACCACTAGGAAAAAGGCTTGATTTAAATCAACTCGATTTAAATCGTAATTTTTAAAGAGCAACTGTCATCTCTGCTACTCCTTTGACCCGCTGTTGACTCACCGATAGTCCCAGTGTTGCAGAATATACAGCCTCCTGCTACATAACTAAGCTCCATTTCATGCTGAATAAACTAAATTATTTATGTATCTTAAATAGAAAACTATCTTACGATAGATTTTTACCCCAAAAGTTTTTTATTAAAATAAATTCGATAAAAATAAAAAAAAATCCGATTTAAATCAAAAAAATCTGATTTAAATCAAAAAGAACTGATTTTTTTGATTTTTTTAAAAAAATCATTGATTTTTATCCACCCTGGTTAAAACACATACACATACACATGGGATGGGATGGGATGGGATGGGATGGGATGATGGGATAGAATGGAATGGAACGGAATGGAACGGAATGGAATGGAATGGAATAGAAATTAGAATAGAATAGAATAGAATAGAATAGAATAGAATAGAATAGAATAGAATAGAATAGAATAGAATAGAATAGAATAGAATTCTTTATTGGCCAAGTGTGATTGGACACACAAGAAAATTTGTCTTTGGTGCATATGCTCTCGGTGTATTTAATTTATTGAACTTCCAGTAATTCTCCCTAATTCTGTAATATTACCCTTCCTCAAAAAAACAATTTAAAATAATATGTACTTGGTTATTTACTGGACCATTCTAACTGTAGAGCTTTCCATTACAAGTTTTAAAGAACAAGTATCAAATATAATTGTGCAACTGCCATTTTCTTTAGTTCTATCAAGGGGACCTTTTATTTTAATGACCCTTTTTTAATTTTATTCTGATTTTATTGTGTCATTTCGGTAAGCTATTTGTGTTTTAGGCAGTCAGATAAATTTTAGTTTAAAGTTGATTTTACTTAAGCATAGAGAAGGCAAAACATGGAAAACTATAAGCGGGTCTAAATTTAATTAAGTTAATTTAAGTAAAGTTTGAAACATTCTAAGTTTAAGAGATCTTTTAAACAACTTAAAATACTTCTAGTGTTTGTTGGCAACTGGGAAATATCACTTAGTAATTGTTACATCTATAAGTATATGCATAAAATAAAATAAAAAATAAAGTCTGCTATAGGTATTTGATATCTTTAGCAATAATCTTAACCACGGCCATTATTCTGCCTTAATTTGTGCCAAACACCTCTTTATCAGTTTATTCTGAAAGATTGAGAGACGCATTTTTGACCAATCCAAATCTGAACGATTTTTCTTTCCCTGGTCTAGTCCAATCGTCCCTCTGTTTACTCTTTCCTCCTGTTTTGAATGTATTCTTTGGGCGTTATCCAGAATAAAAGAATGATGTATGGATAGGCTGATTCTATTTGTGAGTTGCAGGAGTTGATAATTATATTTTAATTAAGAGGTAGTCATGCTGCCAGAATCTGCCACACTTCAACCAATCAAGCAAGAGAGCGCATACATTTCTCATAGAAAAAGGGTGTTGTATTTTTTATTTTTTTTTTTTGCTGCTGGTTGGTGTTTTATGGCTCTTGAAATAGTTCCGACATGTCATAAATTATTTGGGTGGTCCATGAGAATAGAATAGAATAGAATAGAATAGAGTAGAGTAGAGTAGAGTAGAGTAGAGTAGAGTAGAGTAGAGTAGAGTTGAGTTGAGTTGAGTTGAGTTGAGTTGAGTTGAGTTGTTGAGTTGAGTTGAGTTGAATTCTTTACTGGCCAAGTGTGATTGGACACAAGGAATTTGTCTTTGGTGCATACGCTCTCAGTGTACGTAAAAAGAAAAGATGCATTCGTCAAGAATCATAAGGTACAACACTTAATGATAGTCATAGGGAACAAATAAGCAATCAAATCATATTAGGAAACAGTCAATATAAATTGTAAGGATACCAGCAACAAGGTTACAGTCCTACAGTCATAAGTGGGAGGAGATGGGTGATATTACCAGGACAAGCCAAAAGTGTGGGTCAGGCCTTGGAGATGGTAGGGCAGTGATGGCGAATCTTTTCGGCACTGAGTGCCCAAACCGGAACGTGCTTGCATGCATCTGTATGTGCGCACGCTGGAGCGCGACCAGCTGGCCGGCGTGCACGTGCCTTTTTTTTGGTCATTTGTCACCATTTTTCACACTTAACAACCATTGCAGCGTCCCCATGGTCATGTGATCAAAATTTGGGCGCTTGGCAATTGGCTCAAATTTAGGTCAGTTGCTCCTGTGAATCCCCTTTTGCGATCTTCAAGTCAATGGGGGAAGTCAGATTCACTTAACAACCGTGTTACTAACTTAACACCTGCAGTGATTCACTTAACCACTGTGGCAAGAAAGATTGTAAAAAGGGGAAAAACTTCAACAAATGTCTCACTTAGCAACATAAATTTTGGGCTCAATTGGTGTCATGTCGAGGACTAGGTATATATGGGGGTTTTTTTTGGTCTGAGACATAATCTGAGGGTGAGTGGCATCTCTGGTTATAAGAATGCTCTTATTCATTTTTAATCATTCCGGCACCACTACCATACAAGCTGCTCAGCAGCTTCTGCGTGCAATTCAAAGTTTTTGGCTGAGGAAAGCAAGTTGGCAGGAAGCCCTCAGGCTAAAACATCTGAAAGAAGCCACAATGAGATCAGATACATCATGAGGAGAGCACATCTTTCTCCTTCTGTCCTGGCCACTTTCTACAGAGGCACAATTGAGAGTGTTTTAACAAACTGCATCATTGTTTGGTTTGGTGATAGCAGTGTCTCAGAT